CTGATGATGATGATGATGATGATGGTGGTGATGGTGCTGGTCATGGTGATGGTGATTATGACGACGATGATTTTGACGCTGCTGCTGCTGCTGCTGATGATGATGATGATGATGATGATGATCATACTGATCATGATGATGCTGATGATGATGATGATGATGATGATGATGATGATGATGATGATGATGATGATGATGATGATGTGGATGATGATGACTATGATTAGAACACAGTGGGTATGAAGATAATGTGGAATGAGCGCGATCGCGCTCAAGTTCTCTGGGCCCAAGCGCGCCCGCTTGAGCAGGGAGGAGGGTACGTCTGATCAGGCGCGAGAATTTCTCCGTGCTGAGTTCTACTCCGATGATGTTCCTGACGGATTTACCCCTCAGTCCTTTAAATGCCTGAAGCCGTTAGTTGTTGGGGTCGATGACCCCTAATAATCCGGCTGCCCTAGGCAGTGCGGACTTTTGGAGACCTCAAAGTTACCGAGTAGACGAGCTCGCTCTGCACATCGGTAATTGCGCAGCGTATCTCGCGGGACATTGCTCTGATTACGCGAGGTCCTCGGGAGGCTGGGTTTATTTTGGTGACCTGGTTGAGAAGATCGCCGAGGACGGATTCAGCTATCAGACATATGCCCTCGCTGCACACGGCCTAGCCGCGTTGCAGCCAGGGACTGTGGAGGTCCTCGGGGTGTTCCCTGCCGACAGTGACAGCATCGGTGGAACGAACGTTCACAACATGTGGCAAAACTACACGGCGTGGCCCTCTCAAGTGAGGGAGAGGAATGCAATCCCCATTCCTGTTTTCTATCGAGCGTGCCAGGGACACTCCACTTTTGTTGCTTCAGTTGAGAGAATGTATGTCCCTTATGACCCTGGCCAAGCCAGGAGTCACGGGCCTCTTCTCCATATCACCGACTTGCAGACACTGCTGGAGTCCACAGTCGGAGAAGTTCAGTTCCCAAAAAGAGACTCGGGGCTTTGCCTCGAGGCAGATTACGAATTGCTGAGGCTTCTCCCGGCCAAGAAGAATCCGAACATGCGGGGGGAAGATCACCTTCCTTCGTGGCTCAGCCAACGGAGGTATGGCGAACCTATCCCCGCAAGAGAGTTTGTGGCTATGGGTAACGTCGCGCAACAAGGAGAGCCGCCATCGGTCGGAGCATGGCCCGCAGAGGACACAGTCCCTCTGTGGGATCAGCTTCCGAATCACAGGGATTCCTGGCCGTTAGTTCTTGTTTTCAACGGCCGGGTTCTCACTCGCTTTTCGTACAGGATTTGCCAGGATGGGACTCTCGTGTCCCGTGAGGTGCCGAAGTTCACCGACATTTACAAAGCCGTCACCCTTGTCAAAGTTGGAGACTTGCAGGATCCTAGAGAGAAGCAAATCTCTTGGTCCATCGTTTTCAACCACGAATGGGCATCGTACGATGTAGATTTTGATAACAACTCAATGCTCGGTTGGATTCACACGGGCGAGACGTGGTCTTAGATCTCCGACCACATGCCTCAATTGTCACCCGAGGCGCAAGCGCTCGTTCAATCTGTCCCATGGGAGGACGATGGTCGGTTCCTGTGCGCTAATTTTCACTGGGTGAGAACTGGCTTTGGACATTGCCCCTCCTGCAGCAATCCGATCAATTACAAACGCAGAGTTACTCACGACTACTTGCTCCAGACATGGAAAGATAAAGTTATCCCGAATTCCCTTAAGGAGCACGGCATGTCGTTGCATGTTGATAAACCCCGCGAGCTTCTTCACAACCGCGCCGGCTGGGTTGGGGCGCGAGTAACACGACAACGGAGAGCTTCGGCGGACGTAATATACAACATCAACAACAATCTGCAGCAAGAACGCAAGTGGGCAACCGGTGAAACATATTTACGCTTGGCTGCTTCAGGTCAAACCTTTGGAAACAGCCGGACAGGTAGTTCTCCTGCCTGGATTCCTGACCGCGCCGCGGCCCAGCCGCCGGCGCGTCGCGGTCCTTTCTTTCAGTACCTCGAGCCTCTGAAGAGGCGATTCATTAAGTGGCTCGCACACTTGGCTAGGAAACAAAGGGCACAAGTCCATCCGATCGCAGACTGGTGGCCCTTGCTTTGGGCAACGGATATTGACCAGCATGCGCGCCCAATGTCTTGCCCTGCTCTGGCTGCTTTTGAGTGGCCAGAGGCATCCGACACACTTCATGAACCAGTAGAAGGTTGGGACAGAGCGGAGCGCACAATGAACAATCAGAGAATCTTTGTGCCGACGCTGCAGACATTGATCAACGCGATAGCCGGGACAGCACCGTGGCTGCCCGTCGAGCAGGACAACGCCGCGGACACCACAGGGCACAGCCCTCGTGGGCGTTCACCGGTTGCTTGGGCAGATAGTTTTGTGGCGCGGCCTCGACGTGTTTCCCGGTCCGTTACCAGGCGTGTTAATTTATGTTCTGACCACCGTCTGGTTTCAGGATTGCAATCTGCCGCCGGTACGACCGAGACGGCAGGTGAGGAGAGTTACGAGTGACGCTTGACTTCACTGCAGTCAGCGGGTCCAAGGCCGAGCTGATAATTAATGGGACGATTGATCTCGATCAACCCGATGGGTATACATACTCACATTGCGAAGACAATTCGTTGAACATCACATTGGCCCAGCTCGAAGCCAAGGCAGTGGCTGCACAGTATGTCATGGAATACAACAGTGTCAGCCCGGGGACAAGAGACCCCAACAGATTACGACTGTCGGGTGAAGTAACGCATGGGAACTGGAAAGTTCCAGTTTCGGAAATGCAATTAGGTCTTCGCATAATGCGTGTGATCGCTGTCATTCGTGAGATCACTAGTAGCTTTATTACCGAGGGGCATTAGATTGCGTACCCTGGAAGTGCCGCTCTTGTCCCGGGCGGGAGCTCAGACCACGTTCGTGACAAGCGACAAAAAGACGCATGCGCCCTTGAGTGTCGAATTCGTGCTGCGGTTCACGCGAGTGATCTCATTGAGGAATGGGCCCGTAATTTGGGTAGACAGGTCCGCGCAGACATCCGTCGTCAGGGCGCGAAGTTGCAGGCGGCCGTATGTTGGCTTCAAGATAAGTGCGAGGACGAGGAGATGGAGCTTCAAGATAAAGACGAAGGCCCCTTTCGTACTGCATGTGGAAAAAATTGCATTCCAATTGCTACCGCTGCAAGAGATATTATTAGATTCACTCGAGATCGAGAGACAAACATTAGCGAGAGTGGAGGCGCCTCTGAGCCCCCCGACGGCCAAGCCGATCTGGAGGGGCCGACGCGATCAGATGATTTGGCAAAAGCGAGGCCGATTCTGCCACCTCCACCACGTAGACCCGACGTCCAAGACGATCGGGCTCGTGACGAAATCACCGAATCTTCGTGTTCTGCCAGCGGCCCAGCCGCTTCGGCAGGTGAAGAGTACTCATGGCATTCGTCACTTGACACACGGGATTGGTCGAGGCCCCCGCGCGCGCGCGATGGTGCCATGGATGTCGGCCGCGGCGCTGCTGGCTACGACCCGCTGATCCACTACCCGCACTTCACAAATTGCGTCCAAGATGGATACTGCGTTCATAGCGACCGCATCTACTGGATGACCGAAAATGTCTGGTGGTCACGAACGTGGCATATACTGTATACTGTCTCTGACAGACTACAACTACTACTTCCCGACGAAGAGGAAAGAGTCCAAGAACAAAGACAAGCACAACAGAACAGCGTATCGCGCTGGCCGTGGCAAGGGATGCAGATCCCGCTCGCCCCATGGGAAAGGAGGTCGACAGGGAGGCTCGTCGTCTTTACGTCCGAGACCTCCGACTCCTCCATCGGGAGACAATCCGTGGGAAGGACTGAGTTAGGCCAGGCCCGCGTGACCCAGTCATTGCAGGTTTAACCGATCGACAAAGTCGCATCGGTCGAGAGAATTTAACCGATCGACAAAGTCGTATCGGCCGAGAGAGCTCTACCGATCGACGAAGTCGAATCGGCGGAGAGAATTGATTTATCTAATGGTGGGAGTCGTCGGGCCTCTTCGGCCCTCAGCCCCCTGGCAGCCGCCGCTGAGCTGTAAAAGTTTTTGCGGTTGGCTCCGGTGGTTGTACACATGCACAGGCTGGGGGTGCTGTGGCTGGATGGGCCCTGCGAGGCCCGCCGCGGGGTGAGTAAATATGCTCCTGTCCGCCTCATCATAATCTTGCTTCTCTCGCTGCCTGCCTTGCAATGTACTGTCTGTGCTGTTGCTGCGGTACCAATCCGCAGCTGTTTGTGCTCGAAGGAGAAACAGGAGCGCGCCTGCCTTCGGCCGCCGCGCGTCGTCGGTCGTCGGCCGGCCGGCCTCCTCCCTTACTAATCCTGAGTACAATTGCTTACCAGTTAATTACTGTCTTATCGATGCCTCTTCCCGTACCCTCTACCACTGAGCAGAGTGAACATGAGCCCTTAATTCTTTTGTCATCTTATCCGGATTCTCAGAGGAAAGACTCGACCCCCCTCCATCCACGTAGTTTTTTGTTGTTTGGCTTCAAGACGAGTGTGTGCGGTGTCATGGCGAGAGCCCCATTTCGGAAGCTACCCGCCTTCCACCCGTGTGGGTTTTGTTTTTCGAGACAGTTGCGCGCGGCGCCGTGGCCAACGCCCTATCTTGAAAATTGCCCGCCCTCCATCGGTGAAGCTGCTGGAAGCTTCAAGCTTCAACGCAATGGACGGCGAGGACTTGTCTGACAACGCCGACAAGGGCGAGTGAGGGAGAAGATGGGGGAGGGGTAAGCTGGCGGAGAGGAGGAGTAGGAGGAGGATGAGGAGAAACAGGGGCGAGGAGGGAGGGGGAGGGGGTGGGATGAGGATGAAGATGATGCTGATGATGCTGCTGATGATGATGGCGATGATGATGATGAGGATGACGATGATGATGATGCTGATGATGATGTTGATGATGATGATGTTGATGCTGATGTTGATGCTGCTGCTGATGCTGCTGCTGCTGATGATGATGGTGATGGTGGTGATGACGGTGATGATGATGAAACTGCCGGTGATGAGGCTGATGAGGAGGGGTAGGATTGTGGTTATGATGGTGATGATGCTTGTGATGCCGGTGATGCTGATTATGTGATGATGAGGATAATGGTGATGATGATGATGATGGCGATGGTGTTGACGATGATTAGGTTGTAGTTGGTGATGATGATGCTGATGATGCTGATGATGTTGATGCTGATGTTGATGCTGATGTTGATGCTGCTGCTGATAATGATGGTGATGGTGATGGTGATGGTGATGCTGATGGTGACGGTGATGATGATGATGATGATGATGCTGATGCTGATGCTGTCGATGAGGATGAGGCTGATGTGGAGGGGTAGGGTTGTGGTTATGATGGTGATGATGCTGGTGATGTCGGTGATGCTGATCATCATGTTGATGCTGCTGCTGATGATGGTGGTGGTGGTGATGGTAGTGACGATGCTGATTATGCTGATGATGATGATGATCAGGAGGAGGATGATGATGATGATGATGATGATGACGATGATGATGCTGATGCTGATGATGTTGTAGTTGGTAATGATGATGACGATGATGCTGATGCTGATGCTGATGCTGCTGCTGCTGATGATTACATGGCCACCTCAGTTGCGGAAACGATTGAGAGGGCGGGGGGGTCTTCGGTAGTCTGCTGGTGGTGTTGGTGATAAGGATGATTGCATTGCCCGCGCAGTTGCGGATAAGATTGAGGGGGCGGCGGGGTCGTCCGTAGTCTGTGGAACTCGCAGCCAAGTTTGAAGAAGCCCGCCGCAGTCGCCGAATTGTAACACAATGCGCAAAGAGCCCGCCGTAGGCACCAGTTTTTTGTCAAGGCATAGAGGGTTTCGGACGGGTCTCGGGCGGGTCGTGGGTCCCGCGCGAGTTGCAGTGGGTCGCGGGTGGGTCGCGGGTGGGTCGCAGGCGGTGCGCGGAGGGGTCGCGGGCGGATCGCGGACGAGGGGGACGACATCATCAGCAACAACCATAATCCGCAACGCGGAACCCGACTTCAGCCACGCACCCAGGGATGGTGTAGCAACGCTTGGCCCGTGTGATGATGATGCTGATGATGTTCATGACGATGATGATGCTGCTGATGATGCTGATGATGCTGATGATGATGACGATGCTGATGATGATGCTGATTATGATGATGAGGATGATGATGTTGCAGATGCTGATGCTGCTGATGATGATAAGGATGATGCTACTGGTGATGCTGCTGGTGATGATTCTGATGCTGTTGATGCTGATGATGATGAGGATGATGCTGACGGTACTGGGGTTGATGCTGATGCTGTTGATGATGATGGTGATGGTGGTGGCGATGATGGCTACGACGATGATGTCGGCGACGCCGGCGACACTGATGATGGTGATAGTTGTGTTGTCGTCGATGAAAACGACGGCGACCCAGGATGATGATGCTGCTGCTGCTGACGATGATGATGATGATGATGATGATGACGATGATGATGATGATGATGATGATGATGATGATGCGGGCACCGATGATAACGATGCTGATTATGATTATGATTATGATGATGATGGTGATGATGCCGATACTGACGATTATGATGATAATAATGCTGATGACGATGCTGCTGATGCTGATTGTTCTGATGATGATGATGATGATGATAATGATGATGATGATGATGATGATGATGATGATGATGATGATGATGATGATGATGATGATGATGATGATCGGATGATGATGCTGATGATGCTGGTGATGATGATGATTGTGAGGATGGTGGTGAGGCTAATGATGACGATGAGGATGATGCTGCTGCTGCTGATGATGATGATGATCATGATGATGATGATGATGCTGATGGTGATGCTGTTTTTGATGATGATGATGAAGAAGATGCTGATGCTGATGATGATGGTGATGGTGATGCTGGTGCTGATGCTGATGCTGCTGCTGATGATGCTGATGCCCTGGTGGTGATCATGATGATGCTGATGATGGTGATGATGCTGATGACGATGCTGATGATACTTCTGATGGTGACTCATGATGATGATGGTGCTGGTGATGTCGTTGTGTATTGTTGTGGTAAGGAAAGGGAGGTGGAGGAGGAATAAGAGGGTTATGGCGTTTGATGTTTACTCATTTTAGGCTTCCTGGGATAGCCCTCCCCGCGCGGCTGGATCTGGGGGCCGATCTTTTGGCAGGGGGACGGGGACAGGGAATAGGAGGAGAAAGAGGATACAAGCAATTGCACTTGCATGGTATTTTGCCTTTTGCCCCCGCCGTTTTTTTCTGTCACTGATGGGCCAGACAAGAGTCGGTTTAGCAAGAAACGAGCTCTGGACCGTCTGGAGGCCGAAAAGAGGAGAACCTCACAATTCACAAAACACATCAGAAAATTAATGATTTTTGCCTCTTGGGGCCTTCTGAGGGGGGTTCTTGGAGACCCCTTGGGACGTTCTGCAGAGATCTTTAGGGGTATGACGGCTTCTTGGGGTTCGTCGTGGACCGTATTGGGGCTCTCTGGGGTCGTTTGTTTTCGTGACGTGGTCCCCGCCCCCCAGCATCTCGACCCTTCAGAAGAGGTGTTGGCTTTTCTTCGGCCCGAGTTTTTGGTTGGGCGGTTCCAGGGGCCAGGGACCGGGGGCGCGCCCAATGGGGAAGGCAGAGGGGGCGGGCATTATCAGAAGGCTCAGAGGGCCTCTGGCCTTGAGTCGGGCCTGTCCCTCTGCAGGAGGAATATTCAAAAGTAGTCAAAACATAGTCAGGGGACGATTGTTATAATATGTTTGCGCATGTCCGGGGTATTTTTTTGAGTAATTTTAAGTTTCCGTCCAAAATCCCCCTGTAGGGGGACAGGCCCGACCTAACTCTGGCCTTCCGAGAGGCTTTCTGAGCCTTCAAAGAAGAAGAAGACAGAGGAAGCTTCTCAGAAGGCAGCGGGGGGCTTCTGACAAGCCGCGCCGCCTTCGGCCAGGGGGGGTGGGTGGTCGCGCGGCTCGTGGATCAGGACTCAGGAGGAGGGTCGAGGAGGAGGAGGAGGAGGATCGAGGATCGAAGAGGAGGATCGAGGATCGAAGAGGAGGATGGAGGATCGAGGAGGAGGATCGTGGATCGAGGATCGAGGGGAGGACGACCGAGGATCGAGGAGAGAGCGGGCCGAGATCTTCCACAGACCCGGGCGCTCCGCCCCGCGAGGAGCATCGGGCGGCTGGGGCAACAGCTGCGGTCCGCGAGGGTGGCCGTGCACCTGCGGAGCGGCGCCCCGAAGGAGACGCAGACGTCGCGAGAGGCCCTAGTCGTCGTCGCCGTCGTCGTCGTCGTCGTCGTCGGTGTCGTCGTCGTCGCCGTCGTCGCCCTCGTCGTCGTCGTCGTCGCCCTCTTCGTCGTCGTCGTCGTTTCGGCGGGGCGCGCAAGGGGGGTGGCGCGGGGGGGGGCGGCCTTCTGAGAGGGCCGGGGGGGCTCTCAGGAGGCGGGGAGCCTTCTCAGAAGCGCGGGGGGGGCCTCCTCAGTAGCCTTCAGCAGAAGCTTCCGGGCCCCTCTGAGAAGCACCCCGCCTTTGAGAAGTCCGACACCCCTCGCGCTGCCCCATTGTGTGCGCCGTGGAATTGTCGTCGTCGTCGACGTCGTCGTCGCCGTCGTCGTCGTCGTCGACGTCGCCGTCGTCGACTTCGTCGTCGTCGTCGGCGCCGCCGCCGCCACCGCTGCCGCCGCCGCCGCTGCCGTCGTCGTGTTCGTCGCCGTCGTCGTCGTCGCCGCCGCCGGAGTCGTTGAATATTCACTTCTGTAGATAGGTGTTGTTAGTCTATGGAAATAGAAACGGTTCTGGGCGCTCTCGCTTCGACATCGCGCGCATTGTCTCTGAAAGCGACGCTTTCGCTCGAACGTGGGCTTGTTTCCCAATCCTGGTTGTTGAACCCCCACTTGCGGCGACAATGGTGGGTCGCCGCCGTCGTCGTCGTCGTCGTCGTCGTCGTCGTCGTCGTTGTCGTCGTCGTCTCGTCGTTTCTTGTCGCTTCTCGTCACCGTAGCCGTCGTTATCGCTGCCGCCGCCGCCGCCGTCGCCGCCGCCGTCGTCGTCGTCGTCGTCGTCGTCGTCGTCGTCGTCGTCGTCGTCGTCGATCGCGGATTGATAGCCGAGAATCGCGGTTCGAGGGTTGAGGTTTTTTGGGGGCGCTTTTTTGGGCGAGGGGCGCAGGAGGCACCCCAGGAGAGATCTGGGGTTCGGTTGGTTGTCGTCGTCGTCGTCGTCGCCGCTGTCGCCGTTTTCATCGTCGGCGCAGCCGCCGTCGCCGCTGCCGCCGCCGTCGCCGTCGCCGCCGCCGCCGCCGTCGCCGTCGTTGTCGTCGTCGTCGTCGTCGTCGTCGTGGTCGTCGTCGTCGTCGTCGTCGTCGTCGTCGTCGTCGTCGTCGCCATTGTCGTCGTTGTCCAGCGTCGGCGTCTGGCGTTCGCGTCGTGGTCGGTGCGATGAGGCCATGATGGAGCAGAAGGTGACGGAGCTCGTCATGGGCCGCCAGGTCAAGCAGGCCAGGAGGTTCGTGATGCCGTGCTCCATGTGGTGCTTCGTGGTCTCCATCGAGAAGGTGGTCCTGCTCCTCGATGGGGCGCCGCGCAGCGCGACTCCCATGGGGGACGTGGTGTTCTTCGTGTTCTACGCGACGATGCTGCTGCTGGTGTTCAGGTCAGCATCGTCTGACCTGCCCCCGTGCCCACTGGGCCATGGCACCTCGGCCCCACCAGCCCCCTTCTGCCAGGTGGGGATATAGGCCCCGCGGGGCCCGAAGAGACGGGCACATTTCCCCACCGGGGCGGGTAAGTCGGCCAGTGGGGCCAAGGCCACGGCGACGGCGGTGGCGGCGACGACGACGACGACGACCTCCGGAGCTCTTCTGGAGCACCACGCTACAACGCCACACACGCCACACCCACAGCACCACACCACTCCCAAGGGGGGGGGACCCACCGTGGGTGGGGGGGGGCGATGTCATCAGCATGGTGGCGGGGGGCGGTCGGGCCTGGACCTGCATCATATATCCCCGCGAAGGTGGGTAAGTCGGCCAGTGGGGCTAAGGCCACGCCAGTGGGGATAGGGATGGGTTAAACGATGCTCATCAGGCAAGACTTGATTCAGCCGGGGTGGCTTGATCTCTGGGGATCGTTCATCATGCTCCTGGCGGTGCTCACCGCCTCGCCGTGGGCCACCCCGACCGCCAGGCTGCTGGGCGTCAGCACGGCCATCGGGGCGCTGAGGCTCTCCATCGCCCTGTGCATCAGTCTGCCGGCGTTCGTCGGCTGGAGCTCAGGGGGTCACGTTCTGGGGATAGGTTCAGGGCAGGCTGCATCGACTCCCAGTCGCCCATCCATCGCCGACAAGGATGATGATGAGGAGGAGGAGGAGGAGGAGGAGGAGGAGGAGGAGGAGGAGGGAGGAGGAGGAGGAGGAGGAGAGGAGGAGGAGGAGGAGAGAGGAGGAGGAGGCGGGAGGAGGAGGAGGGGGAGGAGGAGGAGGAGGAGGAGGAGGAGGAGGAGGAGGAGGAGGAGGAGAGGAGGAGGAGGAGGAGGAGGAGGAGGAGCAGGAGCAGGAGCAGGAGCAGGAGCAGGAGCAGGAGCAGGAGCAGGAGGAGGAGGAGGAGGAGGGGTCGATAGCCCGCCCCTCCCAGGGCGAGCGGCTTTGCTCTCGGGGGCCCTCCGCCGACCCGTCGGCGATGCAGCGCCGCTTCAAGTTCGATGTCTCTTCCCCTGAACCGGTCCCCTTCAGCTTTCGGTGCGCAGCTCGGCTTTCTCCGGCCGCCCTGCGGGGCGCTCACTTCGGCCCCCCCCCCCCCCCCTGGAGAGCGCTCTCGGCGAGGCGCGGAGGCCGGAGAAAGAGGCCCGAGGCCAGGCAGCCGCCGAGAGCCGACGAGCACTCGGCGGCGAGCGAGGGGGGGGGAAGGGAAGAGGAGAAGGCCTCCTCAGGAGGTTTGGAAGCCCCCTGGCCTTCCGAGGTTCTCAGGCTTCCCCCGCAGAAAGAAAGGTCACCTCTCAGAAGGCGCGCGAGGGGGGCTTCCGAGGAGTCCTGCCGCCTCCTGAGGCGGCCTTCTCCTGCTCGCTTACCCCCCTCGCTCGCCGCCGAAACGCGCCTGGGAGCCTCGAGGGCCTCGAGCCTCGAAGCCCGCAGCGCTGCCCCCCCGCAAGAGGAGCGTCGTCTACTGGGCCAGCCTGGCCCTCCACGCCTGGGAGGACGTCTTCCTGGGGAGCGACTGCCTGGCCCAGACACAAGGCGCAGGGCCGCCCACGATCCGAGTCGAGGCGCTTCGATTCGCGGGCTGGGCCCGCGTGGAGGGTTTCTCCGAAGGGCTTAGGCGACCCGTCGTCCTCCTCCTCCTCCTCCTCCTCCTCCTCCTCCTCCTCCTCCTGCCTCCTCCTCCCTCCTCCTCCTCCTCCTCCTCCTCCTCCTCCTCCTCCTCCGGCTCCTCCTGCTCCTCCTGCTCCTCCTGCTCCTCCTTCTCCTCCTCCTCCTCCTCCTCTCCTCCCCTATCTCCTCCTCCTCCTCCTCCTCCTCCCCCTCCTCCTCCTGCTCCTCTCCTCCTCCTCCTCCTCCTCCTCCTCCTCCTCCTCCTCTCCTCCTCCTCTCCTCCTCCTCCTCCTCTCTCTCCTCCTTCCCCTCCCCCTCCTCCACCTCCTCCTCCTCGGGTCGCCTACGGCCCTGGGGGAAACCGTGCAGCTGGGCCCGCGACTCCGATGCGATGCGCTCTGGCTCTTCCCGGCAGCATCGGCGGGGGCCGGCTGGAGCTGGGCGCGGCGATCCGATGTCGATCCGATGCGGGGACGATTCGCTGGCGGTCCGATCCGCTTCCGAGCCGAGCCGATTTCGCGATTCGACCTGGTGTGTGTGTGTGTGTGTGTGTGTGCGGGTGCTGCACGCGGTGTGCGAGGAGGAGGAGGAGGAGGAGGAGGAGGAGGAGGAGGAGGAGGAGGAGGAGGAGGAGGAGGAGGAGGAGGAGGAGGAGGAGGAGAGGCGGAGGAGGGAGGAGGAGGAGGAGGAGGAGGAGGAGGAGGAGGAGGAGGAGAGTAGGAGGAGGAGGAGTAGGAGGAGGGAGGAGGAGGAGGAGGAGGAGGAGGAGGAGGAGGAGGAGGAGGAGAGGAGGAGCAGGAGGCAGGAGCAGGAGCAGGAGGAGGAGGAGAGGAGGAGGGAGGAGGAGGAGGAGGGGAGGACGAGGGAGGAGAAGGAAGATGATGGGAGAGAGCACATGATGATGAGATGATGATGATGATGATGATGATGATGATGATGATGATGATGATGATGATGATGATGATGATGATGATGATGATGATGATGATGATGATTGATATGATGATGGATGATGATGATGGATGATGATGATGATGATGATGATGATGATGAATGAGGAGGATGAGGATGATTGAGGAAGAGGATGAGGATGAGATGAGGATGAGGATGAGGCATGAGGATGAGGATGAGGATGAGGAGGAGGATGAGG